TTGTAAATATTTGCAATAATTGTAAATAATTTCAATGGCGAACATAAAACTATTGTACACCTACGCATACTAGTTCATAAAACTTTTATTACAGATATATACTCTTTATTCTATGTTGTAAATTTGATTTTAATTGACGTAATCGTGAACATCAAAAGTGTTTTACATTTTTTCATTTTTCTCGAGTCTAGAAACTAGAGATGATGAGATAATAAAATTAACGATTTTTTTGAAAATCTATAAAATTTGCATATTGAAGAAATATKTACTCGAGGAAATGTCAGCTTTTAATAAAATAAGCATGATTTAATAGTTTAATCATTTGGCCGCCTACATTGTGGGTACATACATAATTAATAAAATAAAATGCAAAGTTTTAGTGTAATATTTTAATGATGAGATTAGTTCGACACGGTTTTTAAGCGGCTCCAAAAATGGGTGTCAAATTAAATAAAAAAAAAACCGTTTGTTAATAGCTTTGTTTCGTCGATATTATTTTGTTCAGTTATAAATAGTCAAACACAAGCAGAATTTTTCTAATTTGCATTTTTTACTAGATTTTACCCCACTTTTGTCCTGCCTCTCTGCGTCTCTCCCTCGAAAGGGTGCCAATTGAAAATCGTAACTGTCATGGAAACCTACTTCCTTTGATAACATCAAAATAAAACTTTTAGCATTTTGGAGAAAACAGGTCGTAACGTTTTACATAAAGTGGTGGCTTGTTAGCTGCAAAAACATCATTTCAGTAAAAACGAATTGAAAACTCATTTAGACAATGTGATTATTTTTCAAAAATGAGAGTATTACATCATTTTTTAAGATTATTGATTACGGCTAAGGATAGACGAGCTAAATTTTCGACCTACTTAGTCATTAACCTAATTCTGTCTTTGAAGATGCTTAATAAGGCCTATAGAGATGCTCAGTATAGATGACAAGCTTTCAATATATTTAGACATTGATGAGTCGGTTTAGAGATTAAGGTGGCTTTTATTAGGTAGGCTATAGAATTTAAGAAAAGATTTATTTTTGGAGACAATTTAAGTAACTGTAAAAAATGGCTTACGAGCCGTCACTGTATAAAACACTCTAATAAAAATTGCTAGGTAGACTTCGAATACTGTAAGATGTACACCGTGAGTTGACTCATGTGAGATGTACACCGTGAGTTGACTCACGGTGTACAGGGTGCTGCATTTTGGATGTCCGAATAGGGAATCTCCGAATCTAAGATGTTTAACCAAAAACAAGTGATACATTCTGGGGCTCATTTTTTGAGAAAATAATATTGGTTAAAACCGCATCGGCGCTATCGTCTTTTGTTTTCGACTTACAGYCCAAAGTTGACGTTTTGGCGAAATGCAAAAAAATTTATATCTTTGTTATTATAGAAGATACGGATTTGAAATACAGACATTATAAGGCTCTTTTTAACGAGGACTTTAATAATGTAGTTAACAATTTTTTTCAGTCATTAGTTTAGCCGTAATAAGATAAACTTGTATTTTTTTTAATGGAAATCATAGACGGCTACGGCAATTTTGAAAAGCTTATTTTTTTCTGATCTAAAAAATATATATTTGTAACTGAATATTTTTTATAACTATATTTAAAAAGTGAAATACATATTTTGTTTGATAATAGTTGGTCATGGAAAAACTATTTCACTCCAAATGTGTAAATAATAATCAATTAGAGTTTTGTGAACTGTAAAATACATGAAAATATAGATACAATTATAAAAATTTTAAAAATATGATACGTTAGAAGTATTGAACAAATATGCGAGCGCCTCAGAAAAAATTATTACATATTTTTTAAAAATCCAAAAATAGGAAAAACAAATGTGTCAACAGTCAACACATTTAGAAAAAAACATTTTTTTGATGATCTAATGGAGGTAGGATAACGTTTCACATAGACGGAATTTGGGTATTTGAATAGCCATATCGTCATTTTTGTGTCATATAAAATATATTTATTGAAGAATTAAAGCGGCTTTTTTTTTACAACACTATGTATCACTAGAAGAAATGTTATTTTATTATGTTATTAAATTTATTAAATTATTTTAAATGTTATTTTTAAACAAAGAAATGTTATTAGTCGCCATTAAGTTAATTTACAATTTATTTTGCATTTTTTTCATTACTTAGTACTTAGAAAACTCTTTCATTAGTGACACTGGTTGAATATAATTTAGTTTAAATCCTTTTAGTTGAAGATGGCCAACTGCGAACAAAAATCAAAGTTAATTTTTTGCTAAAAATGTATTATCATAACTTGTTACAAATATATATTTTTTAGATAAGAAAAAAACAAGCTTTTTAAAAATGACATAACCATCTATGATTCCCATTTAAAAAAATACAAGTTTATTTTATTACGGCTAAACAAACAACTGAAAAAAATTGTTTACTACATTATCAAATTCTACGTAAAAAAGTGCCTGTATAATGTCTTTATTTCAAATCTGTGTCTTCTATAATAACGAAGATATGAATTTTTTTAGATTTCGCTAAAATGTCAATTTTTGTCTATAAGTCGAAAACAAAAGACGATAGCGGGATGCGGTTTTAACCAATATTATTTTCTCAAAAAATGAGTCTCAGAGTGTTATACTCGTTTTTGGCTAAACCTCTTAGTTTCGAAGACTGCCTATTCGGACATCCAAAATGCATCATCCCTGTACATCTCACAGTTTTGCAAACTAAGTTTTATAAAAAATTAAATATGTATTTCTCTGTTCTAAAATATGTGTCTGACTTCACAAATATTATGCAAAGAGATATACAGTATGTCCCCGGTTTGTGTTTACAAGAGAAAAAAAAAATTTTTTTAAGCCAAAACTGCAAAGGAAAAACATTTTTTGCTTTATCTGAAACGAGCAAATCTGTAATTAAAACTTTATTATTCTGATTCAGTGAAAAGAAAAGTTAATTTTTCTCTTGATTTTGGACTTAAAATAKTTTTTTTGGTGGTTTTATTTTTTTGACAACTATATGCCACTTTGACAATTAATTTATTAATTAAATAATGATAGTTTTTTTTTTAAATGACTTTGTTTTTCATCTTTAAGTTGCTATTTATCTAAATTAATAAAATAAAACCGCTTATATGATGAAATTTATAAAGCAGAGAAAAATTATTTTAAGTTCAAAATCAAGAGAAAAATAAACTTTTCTTTCTACTTTTTTTCCTCTTGTAAACCCAATTCGGGGACATACTGTATATATACAGTGTGTCAAAACTTGCACCATAGAGAAAAATTTTAAGTAAGATAAGATACCAGGAACATGAAAAAATGTTTAAAATATTCTATTTGTCAAAAATTTTGACATTTTTTTATTGACATTTAACATTTTTTATGTCTATTTAATGATAGCGATGATCTTGTATATGTTTTTTTATAATTATTTAGGAAAGGAACAAAAATTTTGCTAACAAAAACCACAAATAACATTAAACAATGTTACAATTTAGGATACAGCTTCTTTGTTTTCTCTTCTAATAATATGTAAAAAAATATTTTATTTACAGAAATAAATAGTCAAAATGCAAAATTTAAACTCATAAATTCGGAAATTTTTATAGAAAAAAAGTTAATTCTTCGGCTGCACCTGACCTGACCTCCGGCACATTTTTTTCTGCGACGCGAGTTCTAAAACATCTTATTTTCTCTGTAAAAAAAGGGTTAACCATAAAACTAATAAATAATTCTCTGTTTTTGATACCTATTTAAAAATAAAAAAAAATAAAATGTAGATAAGGCAGTAAATTTTATTTTATTTTTTACGTTATACAGACTATTCAAAAAGTTTTAAACTTTATACTTACACGTGTACGTGAAAATCATTTCCAATTTTTTGAGTTTTGAATCATTTGTAATTAAAATACGATGCGTATTTAATTTTTCTTAAAGGTAACAGGGAACTGATGTTCTTTGAAAATTTTTGTATGTACTTATTTATGACATGTTCATGTATTTTTGATTTATTTGTCTACAAGTATTCATCTAAAGGTATACATTAATTTAAAAAATTACAAAATGTTGCAGATTTTTTTTGAGGAAAATTCTAATAATAATTAGCGCAAAATCATTTTGTACTTATGATTTTTTTTCCAGTTTTAATTAATGTTTCATGTACACTGCACAGTTCTCATTAGTTAAAAATTATACGGATGGTGGCGCAAATGAAAAGCTATAATTTATTCCTGTATAAGAAAGGAACAAATTTTAATATCTAGTGGGATTGTGAACAAAACAGAATTACAATTCCGTCTATACTCCATTGGGATTTAAAATGAATTTTAATTTCCTGAAGACTAACGATTTGCTTCAGCAATGAACAGAAAAAAACAATTAAAAACATATTTTAAAAGGGTGTAAAAATCAATACCTATTTATTTTTTACCGGCTTTGCAACCGTTTACGACTTAGCATAGTGTATTATTCAAGTCTTTCTGATTTTAATTTAAAAAAAGATAGTTATCCACAACAAACTGTCTACTCATACTTAGTACCTACTAAATTGATATTTCAAAGCAATAAGTATTGATATTTGCGGTCTAGTAATATGTGGTTACAAAAGTTCAATAGTCCTTAAATTAATCAAATATAAAAAATAAACAAAATCACAATTTGTAACACGTAAGAAATGGAGTCATGTGACAATTGAGTCACTGAAACGGAAGAAATGCGGTCATAAGTGAAGATTCCAAGGATGACTTGACTGTCACGGCCATGGCTACTTATCACCATGACAATCACCTGTCATAAACTGTCATATTGATTCATTTTTTGCGTGAAGCTTTTTACAGGTGGGATTTGAATCTTCGGTGATTCATTTTTTCACCTCCCTACTAAAAAAAAAACCTGCTGTACAACGAGATCGAGTTTTGTTGATGTTTGTTCGTTTATACTGCGCATGTTCGTCCACCATTGCTCGACAGTGGCGGAACTTGCGCACGAGCAAAGTCAGTTTGTCGTTGTGTGTAGTTTACGTCGGTTGCGTGTCGATTTCTCTCCTAATACCGATTTATTTACATGTACTCAGTGTGCATCCGCCGAGTGCATAGCTAGTGAAGCAGTTTCAGTGTGAAGAAATTCTTCATTCTATGGATTAAAAATCGACAGGCGACGAGGTAAGGGCCAAAAGAACGATATTTTTTTAGTAGGTCGCCGTTCTGAATATTTATCAAGTCGGTCATGTGGTTGCATGGCAGAAAGTTAGGTTGCATCCACAACGATGCCACTGTTGCATACTCTATGATCTTGAAATTAACTAAAACTAAGCCGACTTTGATCTCTTTTACTTCAATTAATGAAGTAAGAGATTTTTTGGAATTAAATTCCGAATGGATTATACATTCCGATGCCAATTCGCAAATTAAATTTCAAATCAACCAATCAACTTCGATTGTTTATTTTCAAAGTGATAAAAATATGTTTATCACTGGTATCAAGATTGCGGCAAAATTCATGGACCACTTGATCCGTCTAATTTTGAATTTGAAACCCTGGAATTAATTTTGATTATGTTCGTCCTAATTATTATGGAAAAATAAATTACGGTTTTTGGTACCATCACGGAAATTAAATTGATTGTCCTTGAAACGGCTAACGTATTAAGGAAATGAGTAGACACTTTGTCGAATTTCTATTACTTATTTTATTATATTATTATTATTTTTTATTTTAAAGATTAGGCTGACATTGTCGTACAACAATTTAATAAAGTTTCGCCTCAATGGGGAGCACCGTGGCCCACCTAGAAATGTTGTTTTGTCACACCCGAATTAAATAATATTCAAATTTTATGAAAATTAAGAAGTTATTATTATTATTCCTGGAGAATATTTTAATTATAATGTCAGCGGGAAGTCTTGCCAATTTGTCCAAGTGGTGGGCCGAATTCGAATAAACTAATTAATCATTTTGCGTTTTCTCTTATCCATCATCAATTTTCCGCTTTTGCCTTATTTGGTGATTWGATACGAAAAAGGTTTGATTCACTMSAAATGCTTTATTAATTTTCCGACCTTGCAATCCAACCCTGAATTMGACCATTCACCTCCGCCATTCAAAATCGGTGTTAAAAATCGATTGGTGAAAAGAAAGTCGTCCATTGCGTCAATCTTGAGAAATTCGAGTTTGCAGGATGTGAAAAAGTGGGCAAGCTTTCCGTCTCCGCCGCTCTTTTCTGCTATTTTTCTCGGACAAATAATGATAAAGTTCGCGAAGAAGGCGAGAGTGATGAATTTGTGGCGTTTTATTCCGTGGAAATGCTTCTCTCAAGGTGAAAACTCTTGTAAACATGTCACCGTATTGTTTACGCATCTTGAGGATTTTACTAATTTCGGATCCGAAAGATGTGGAGGATGTGGGAAATTTATACACGTTGCCACCTAGTGAAGGAATCGAGGCCATCAGGTTTGTTTCAGGTTTTTTTTTCTAGTGTCGAGAACGTGATGCTACAATGTAAAAATATTCGATTAATGGTCGTAGGAGGCGCCGTCTTTTTGTTTGTTTTCTGTGGTGAGGCTCGTCTTCGCGCGTGGGTGGAGCGTTTAACATTTTCACGTTTGGATTTTTTAACCAAAAGAATTGATTTTGAAATTAAATCGTTTGTTGTTTTTTCATGATGATCCTAAAAATATCACTCATCAATTTTCAATTTGACAGGTTATTTATATTCGTTGCCAATAAATAGTAGGACATGCGATTTTTGTTTGTCACGCGTAATTTTTCTAATCACGCTGTATAAATAATTTGGGGTTACTAAACTGTTAAGGACCTTGGCCTTGAATTGATAAGATAGGAGGATTTGGTTTCGGAATATTATGTGCAATTTTTTTACACGGGAGTAAATAAGATAAGTGAGTTATTTTAATTCAAACAAATTTGTAAAAGTATTTTGTTTGGGGATATTTGTAAAAACGTGTCTACAAAAAATTATTTATCAATCTATAAAATGAACGAGATTTAGGACCGGCTGTATGTATATTACTTTCTACCGCGTGTGTTTGAAAAGTTTTTAACTTTATTAAGACTACAAATATCTTTTAAAATAATACCAAACATTAAAAATTCAATAAATATAGATTTTTTTGTTTGTTTTGTTCAATGCACCTTCTATTAGGTACCAATTTACCAACTCTAGTTGAAAAAAAAGACAATTATTTAGTGTCACTTTGTAGACATGTTGATATCTGAACATCTGGTTTTTGACTGTCTGTAGATAAAGCAGCTCAAGGTTGGAAGATTTATTCCCAGAAAAAGACTCATTTTTCGCCGAACCATAGATATTTCTTTCTGCATAAATCGTTATCAATATTTTAAGTTTTAACTAACAACTGGCATATGCATTAGGTATTATTTTCTGCAAGTGAATGTAAAGTCGAAAAAAAAAGCATTCACCAGCTGTGAGTCCGCTGAATTGAGAGTGTGATTTGAAATATTTGGTTTCGGTGCAACTCCATGATAACACCTATAACTTTTAATTGTACAGGGTGATTCAAAACTGTCGGGTCAACTTTCGAATAGAAGTCTTTCAGCTAAGCATGAACATGAATGTAGTTTTTTTTCAAGCCTTTTTTGAGAAAAAAAAAACAGAATTGTCAATTTTCAGATTATCATGTAGACATTTTAGTTTTTTTTATTTTTGATGTTGGATTTAATTTATTGTTGAATTTGCTGGTTTGTTAAATGTTTTGTACATCGTAAGATTTGAAATTGGTGTTTTTTCAATAGGTATCTGTTTAATGTTGCAAAGTCAAGAATCAATTTCTCAACTATCTCAATCTTGTGAAAAAAGGCTCAAACAATGTTTTGTTATGGGAACTTTTAACTCAGTTGGATGTTCTTTATCACCACCCAAAAGATGGTTCGTTACTTTTGCATCATCCTGTATAACAAATTAATATTCTATACAGGGGATGTTTTAAAAATTATAAAAAAAGTTTATGTTTAATTTATGTTACAATTCGAAAATCTTTTCCCAGCCTATGCTGAGTTGGATTACCTAAAAGCAGGTGCTATTTGTTGTAGAAATATAAAAGACGTCAGASTAACAAGAAGAAATTCAAATGAGGTTATTTTTCGATAAAATAAATATTTTTATTCTTCGATACTGTCAAAATTTACGGTTTTTCTCCCGTGTAAGGAAGTTTTGACAACTGTTTGGCATTTCTCAATACYAAACGTCAGATTATTTTTAACAGATTTAAAGCAAATTTAAGCKTTTGAGTCTAATTCGAAGAATAAAATGTTGTATTCAACTCGTTTGAGTGTAAATCGGAAGCTRAATTCCACCTCGTGGATGATAAACCACTCGTAACACTCGTGGTTTAATAACCCACTCGGTGTGATAATCTACTATTTGCAGTTTTCTTTAAAACACTGTCGGCCGAGATTGGTCAAACCCTCCATTTTTTTTTTCATGTTTAACGTAAGCAAATGATAAAAGCACATTTTTTATCATTTCGCCACTGAGCATGTGTACATTATGCGAAGGTCATGGGTCGATTGCGTAAAATCGTGAAAGTTACGAAAATCCCGGTTCCAATGCACTGAAAAAGGTCGTCCAAAATTCGACAGAAGTTGTTCCAAGTTCAGGGAAACACCCTTGACCTGTAGGAACTGTTCCCACCGTCTGGTAGTCATTCGGCGCCTGTTTTCAGCGCCTCGTCGTGATTTTTCCATCGTTCTCGCCATGAAATGAGCAAAAAATCGTTTGAACATCCGTTAGATGAAATTGCACGCGGCGTACATATTCAGTTGAGTTAGTACAGCATGTTGGTGTAATAATTGACGCTTTCCCATTTGTTAGGCGAAAGTCGGTACAGTTTTTTTTTTCATTGTTTGGGGCCGCCCTCTAGCGCCCGGTAGAAAAATCAATCGTACGATGACATAAGAACGTGCAATAAATAGGACAGTGGCTAAGCCTGTCATTCTTTAGGCACAAATATCGACCGCACGTTTCTATTTATAAACGACCTGTTTATTCCTTGGCCGCTGCCAGGGCCGCATCCAGCGGAAGGAAACACAACAGACGTCGCTACATACAACCGGAAATCATCATCCCGGCCGACTGGAAAAAAATGTTTCATTCAAATCACTGATAAAAAACGTGTAAACAAGAGATTTGGATAAATAAACGCAGTGCCAACCTTGACATTAACCCTGGTTTTTATTGAGCCCTCGCAAGTTACGTAACAAGTACACATACATATGGTTGGCAGTATTGTGTTTCGCCGGATGTTTGACTCTTTTTTCCCCCTTTTAAACGTATGGTCGAGTTCTAGGTCGGCTCGTCAAGGATGAAAACTAGCGATTAATCATGGATTGTTTTTAGTTGGAAGTGAATGAAACAGGACCGGATCCAGCTACCAGAATAGAACAGCCACTTTGAACTGTCAACGACAGTTTATTGCGTTTTTTACAGAACAATTTTTGGCCAGGTCTCAGAGAAAATGTGTCAAGTTAGAATTTTGGTTTATGAGACGGAATTCACCCACATCTTAGTCAAGCAATGATTTTTTTAAGCGCGGCTATTGGCATGAGGTGTGGGTTTTGTTATTGAAATGTTGTTCAGTGACGCATTTTTGTACATTTGCTAATTCATCAACACGAAATGAGGCCTTTACAATTACAGTAGGTAGCTAACGACGTTATTTTATGACATATTAGTTCAAGAATCGTAAAATTACGATTATTGCGCTGGATGTAATGGTCTTTTCGGACCCAGCGTGATATAAAATTGATTTTAAAGCTTTATAAACTAATATAAACCTTACATTATGATGTTTTCAGGACATTACTTAAGTTAAATGGCGTAGAGTAAGGGACGGGGTACATTCTTTTTCACCATGACTGTACCTGTAAGGCAATTTTTAAGGACACTATTTTTAAATGTGTTAGTCACTATGGTTTTTTGCGATTGGTGATTATGCTTGTTGCATCGTGGAAATGGGGTCTTGCTGGTCACTCCATGAAGACTTAATTTATGTAAATATAAAAGTAACGAAATCAGCAGATTATTAAAGCGTGCAGCATTAAAATCTGTTTTCTCTTTACTCGCAAATTAGCTGCACTATTTCATTCGTTTTTCGTTGCAATTTTAAATAAAACGTTACAATTACTC